AAAAAAAAATCAAGTGGCTTAAGTGGTAGAGTGCTAGCTATGGGCAAAAAAGTTCAGGGACAGTGCTACGATAGAAAAGAGAAAGGGAGAATGAAGGAAGGAAGGAAGGAAGGAAGGGAGGAAGAAAGAAAGGAAAAAGATTGGAAGAAAGAAAGGCTGGGTGCCTATAGCTCATACCTGTAATCCTAGCTACTCAGGAGGCTGAGATCTGAGGATCAGGGTTCAAAGCCAGCCCAGACAGGAAAGTCTGTGAGACTCTTCTCTCCAATAAACCATTCAGAAAACTGGAAGTGGTGCTGTGGCTCAAGTGGTAGAGTGTTCGCCTTGAGCTGAAGAGCTGAGGGACAGCTTCCAGGCGGAGTTCAAACCCCACAACCTACAAAACAAAAAAACTCAGCTTCCTAAATAGGATAACAGGTATGAACCACCAGTGACTGGCTAAGAACTCTCTTAAAGGCTCTCAGCACTTTTTTTTTTTTCTTTTTGCGAGTCTTGTGGCTTGAACTGTGGGCCTGGGTACTGTCCTTGAGCTTCTTTTTGCTCAAGGCTAGCGCTCTACCACTTTGAGCCAGTGTCACTTCCAGCTTTTTCTGTTTATGTGGTACTGAGGAATTGAGCCTGAGACTTCATGCATGCTAGGCAAGCGCTCTACCACTTAGCCACATTCTCAGCCCCTGAAATATATGTTTTAACAGTTGTGTAAGGTTTTTTTGGTCGGTGGTTAGGCTTGAAGTCAGGGCCTGGGCACTGTCCATGAGCTCTTCTGCTCAAGGCTAGTGCTTTACCATTTTGAGCCACAGCTCCTCTTCTGGTGGTTAATTGGAGATGTGTCTCCCAGACTTTCCTGCCTGGACTGGTTTGGAACCGTGATCCTCTCTAAGATTTCCTTAGGCCTCACCTTCTCCCAGGCCCCCACCCCTGGGCTTGGCCTTGTCCCAGGGCCCTGATCCCATCCCTGCCTCCCTCTTCAAATCTCTGATAGGCCCCACATTCTCCCCCTGCTCCTTTCCTGAGCCTGATCTCCCCGCTGTCCTAACCCCACTAGGTCTGGTGTTCTACTCTAGTCCCACCCAGACACTCCAGTTCTTTGCAAAGCAAAGTGACATTCTCTAGAGCACCCAGACAAGGCCCTGCTTTCCCCACCAAGCCAGCCTCCTAACTTGGTCCCGCCCCCAGGACAGGCTTCAGCCCTGCCCCACTCTGAAATTAGACTAGGCCCCGCCTTTCCAGGCCATTCCCCCTCCCCAACAGGCCTGCCTTCTGAGTTGGCCCTGCCCCTGCGGGAAGGCCAGCTCCACCCCACTCTGGAAGAGACTAGCTCCACCTTCCTGGCCATGCCTTTTGAGCCACTCCCCATCCCTAGGATGGTCTTTTCTCTGCAAGGCCATCCTATGCCCTGCCTCCTGGTTTGGCCTCCCTCCCTCCTTTCAGCAACGCCTTCCTCCTTGGCCCCTCCCACAGCACACTTGTGCCCCGCCCCCCCGCCCCCTTTCTTTGCCTGCCTCTGGTGGCCTACTGTCACCAATGAGCCCCATTGCCACTGCTGGAGAAGCACTCAGGTTTCTGGCTAATGGTGTGTCTGGTTATTGAGAATGGAGTAGGAGGAAACAACATGGTACTTCTGTCCCCAAATAAACTTTTTTTGTGGGGGAGGGCTTCTGACATCTGAGCAGCTTTTCCAACCCCAGGTCCCCCTCACTGGATCTTTGTGTATCCCCACCTCTCCTCCTTTCCTCTGCCTGAGCACCAGTCACACCAGCCTCACGTGTCCTTATTTGGGAAATTGGCACTGGCTGGCTTAGGACCCCCAGAGGACCAGAGCTGGCCCAGAGCCAGGCCCAGCCTAGCCTACCAGGCCCTGGGGACACAGATGAGTCATAGCTCTGGGGAGATTTGAGGTTCAGCAGATGAGCCAGACCGAGAGAAAAGTAGAGTAGAAAAGTGACCAGAGCCAGGATGGGGGACATCCCAGAGATAGGGAGTATTTCAAAGAGGCACGGGATCCAGCCTGGATGGACTAGAAAGTATGAAGTACAACCTGAAGGGTAAGCAAACACTGACCAGGCTGGTGGGAAGGATGACTGGTGGAGGAGGAATCCTAGAGCTGTGTATGGAGGGAGGCGATGAAGGGGATCTTCCTCTGAGATCCCCACTCTCAGGGGGCTATTTTCTGTGGGCCCACCCCAATTCCCACTTGGGCCCAGCCTCATGGCTTCAGTCACCTCAACATTTCCTTCAGGCAGGACTCTGACCAACTAACTACCTTCAGGGTGGGACATAGACCAGACAAGAACCCATGAAGCTTCTTGGCCTTAAGATGCTCTCAGTGGTCACCAGTGATTTGCACAGCTGGGGGCCCAACCAGGCATCCGCACCTAGGAGGGGCTCATTTAATACACAGAGATAAATGTTTGAGAACCCAGGTTCTAGGCTCAGTGCCCACATCTTGCATTCCCTGTGTACCTTCTACCTGTATTTCACAGACCTTCCTGTCCAGGCTGGCTTTGAACCACAGTTCTCAGATCTCAGCCTGGCCAGAGCTTGGCAAGGAAGGATCTATGAGCCTACTGATGAGGTAGGGGGTGGGGGTCATTTGGGGAGCTTCTCCCATTTAAGGGTGATTTGTATGGCTTCATGGGGTTGGATCAAGCCCCCGCCTGGAGATTCCTGAATCTGTTAGTGGCTTGTTGTAAATCCCCACTCTTCTGAGGGTGACTGTATCTGGCAGAATCCTCCTCCAGCAACTCTAAGCCCAGACCTCTTAGTGGTGGACACTCTTTAGATACATTGCTCTGATAAAGCCTATAACCTTAGGCCCTGTTTGGTCAGTCAGCACACATGGATTGAACTCTTAAATGGGACAGGAGAGTCACTGAGATGACTGAAGGCGGTGATAGAGGTCATCAGTAAGAGGCAAGAGGGCTGGGCCATGGGCCATGGCTAAATGATGGTAGTTGGGGAGGTAAGGCCAACCCAGAGTGGTGGATGAATTTGGAACTGCTTGGATCTGAAGTTGTTCCTGAGAGAACACTTAGCTAACGTCTGGGCCTTCATAGCCCAGGTAAAGACTGCAGATGGATACCCATGTCTGGTGGGAGATGACATTTATTATTTGTTTATTTAGTACCAGTACCAGGGCTTCCTCCTGCTTTATTTTTTGTTGTTGTTTACTGGTCCTGAGTTTTTTTTTTTTTTTTTTGGGTTCGGTCGTGGGGCCCCAACTCTGGGCCTGGGCACTGTCCCTCAGCTCTTCAGCTCAAGGCTAGCGCTCTACCACTTGAGCCACAGCGCCACTTCCGGCGTTTTTCTTTTTGTTTATGCGGTGCTGAGGTATCGAACTCAGGGCCTCAGGCATGCAAGGCAAGCGCTCTACTACTGAGCCGCCTTCCCAGCCCCTGGTCCTGAGTTTTGAACTCAGGACCTGGGCTCTGTCCCTGAGCCGCTCTGTGCTTAAGGCTAGCTCTCTACCACTTGAGCCATTTCAGGCCTTTTCTGTTTGTGTGGCACTGAGGAATTGAACCCAGGGCTTCATGCATGCTAGGCAATCACTCTACCACTAAACCACATTCCCAGCCACTTGCTTTGTGTTTTGCTCAAGGCTGGTCCTCTACCATTTGAGCCACAGCTGTACTTCTGGTTTTTTGGTAGCTAAATGGAGATTTAGAGTCTCATAGACTTTCCCATCGGGGCAGGCTTTGAACCACAATCCTCAGATCTTTGCCTCCTCAGTAGTCTCCCCAGGGGTGAGCCACAGGTACCCTATAGGTTCTGAGCTGCTTCTTTCTTTTCTTTTCTTATCTTTCTTTTTCTTTTTTTGTCTGTCATGGGGCTTGAACTCTGGGTGTGAGAACTGTCCCTGAGCTCTTCAGCTCAAGGCTAGCACTCTACCACTTGAGCGATAGCACTACTTCTGTGTATGTGGTACTGAGGAATCAAACCCGGGGTTTCATGCACGCTAGGCAAGCACTCTATCACTAGGCTACATTCCCAGCCCCTGTTCTGACTTTCTTAAAAGCAGACTAACAGATAACATCCAGCAAGGGCTGGGACTACAGTGTGACCTTGACGCTGAGTCTTCTCCCCCAACAGCCCCATCAGCATAGACCCTGGTAATGACTGTGAAGATGTGGAAGACAACGAGAACACAGGTGCCATGCTGAATCAGGGTTGGGGGACGGGGAGGGAGGTGGGAAGAGAGGGGACAAAGAGATGTCAGGCACTATCAACCTTGTTTGGGGCTGTTGATTGGATTACAAACCCTCTTATTGATGAAAGGAGGCTGCCCTAGCTGAGCATGATGCCAGGCCACAGTTTACCTGGTCTGTAAAATCAATGGATGTCAGTGGTTCTCTAAGTACCTGTTCTCTAGTGGAAGAGTTACTCTTGAGATCCATGTGTGCCAGTGCCTTTGGAGCACAGTGCAGGGACTGAGACGGGCCCCCAGCGTGGCCCTCACTCCCTCCTGTTTGTTGCTGAGCTCCTTGGACATCCCCAGCATCCAGCGCTCCTGGGGGCATATTAGTTATCCTCTAAGGCTTTGTTAGGGTGTTTGTCTGCTTTAGAAATGCTTAACTTTCTCCCACTGCAGCATTCACCTGGGAGGTGAAGGCCAACAACTGGGACTTTCACACCAAGTTCAAGGAGAAGTTCCTGTGCTGGCAGAAGAAAAAGTACAAGGTGGGCAGGGAGACTACCACCCTGATAGAGCCCAGGCCCCATCCTCTCTATTCAATAAGGTCTCTTTATCTCCTACCATCCCCTGGCGGGCTGCCAGGATCTCCCCATGGGGAGAGTTTGTTTTCAGACTAAGAGTCTTGCTTGTCACATTACTTGTGTGTGTGTGCGTGTGCGTGTGCATGTGCGTGTGCACGCATGCATGCATGTGCACGTGCGCTCACTCAGAGCCTGGGTACTGTCCTTGAGCTTTTTTCTTTTTGGTAATGAGGCTTGAATTCAAGGCCTGGGTGCTGTCTCTGAACTCTTCTGCTCCAGGGTAGCTCTCTACTACTTTGAGCCACAGCTCTACTTCCAGTTTTCTGGTAGTTAACTGGAGATAAGAGTCTCATGGCTTTCCTGCCTGGGCTGGTTTTGAATCACAATCCTTGGATCTCAGCCTCCTGAGTAGCTAGGTTTACAGATGTGAGCCACTGGTGCCCGGCTGCTTGTTATTTTCATTGTGATCCTGAGAAAGTAGTGCTGTTCTTATCAAATCATGACTTTTTTTTTTAAAACTTTACCCATGGGCATTAAAGTAAATTAATACACAACTCTACCAGCACACAGTGTCAGAGTCCTCTCTAGAATCTCATGAGAGAGGAGTCTCACTTTTTTTTTTTGTGCTGGTACTGAGGCTTGAACTCAATGCCAGGGTACTATACCTTTGCTCAAAGCTGGTGCTCTACCACTTGAGCCAAAGCTCCACTTCCAGCTTTTTTTTGAGGGGGGATGTTAATTGGAGATAAGAGTCCCATGGACTTTCCTGCCCCAGCTTGCTTTGCATCTTGATCTTCATATCTTGGCCTCCTGAGCAGCTAGAATTACAGCTGTGAGCCACTGTGTCACTGTGTCCAGCTAGTCTTTCATTTTGGGCAATATTGTTGACACAATTTAATTAATGCTGACCCAGCAGAGACTCTGGAAACACTGGTTCAGTGGATGCTCCCTTAATGTTGTCTGTGGCCACTCTGGCAAGGCAGGGATGGGGTGACTGGCCCCAAGAACCCTTAGGCCTGGGTAGCGCCCCATTCACTGACTGATGTTCTCCTTCTAGACCAACGCCATCCACACAGCCAAGTATAATTTCTTCTCCTTCCTGCCACTGAACTTGTATGAGCAGTTCCACCGTGTGTCCAACCTCTACTTCCTCCTCATCATTATCCTGCAGGTGAGGCAGGGTGCAGGGCTGACTCCTCCAGAAGTCCACCGGAGCACTCTGGCTGTTTACTGTATGATGAGCCAATTAATATCTGACTTCTCCCTCACACTGCCTTCCCGCTTCGTGTGTCCCTGGCATACGAGGTGAAGCTGAATAGTGAAGGGGGAGAAGACAGCCACCTCCCTCCAGGTGGGATTGTCTTGGCCACACAACACCCTTAGCCTCTGTGCCCATGTGGCTGGCCTCAGACTGGGGGAGCCAAGGAGTCCTGATGGTTTTTCAGAACCTACCAGGCCATTTCCTGGCATCTGAACAGCAGGGACTCATGGTGTATGTGGAGGGCAGTCATCTAGCCAGGACCCTGTCTTCCTCTCCTGGAGCCCCCTACCTGCTCAGCATTTTGATTCTCTGCCCTCTTTTATGGTTTTATTTTTTTTTTTGTCAGTACTGGGGCTTGAACTTAAGGGCTGGGTGCTGTCTCTGAACTTTTGTGCTCAAGGCTAGCAGTCTACCACTTTGAGTCACAGCATCACTTCTGGTTTTGGGGTAAAGAGTCTCATGGAGCCTGGTGCCGGTGGCTCATGCCTGTGATCCTAGCTACTCAGGAGGCTGAGATCTGAGGATTGTGGTTCAAAGCCAACCTGGGCAAGAAAGTCCATGAGACGCTTATCTCTAATTAACCACCAGAAATCTGGAAGTGGCACTTTGGCTCAAGTGGTAGAGTGCTAGCCTTGAGCTGAAGAGTGACCAGGTTTAGAGTTTCTTGAATGGGCTGTCTTTGAACCATGATCTCAGCTTCCTGAGTATGTGGGATTAGAGTGCCTGGCCTTGGTTTTATTTGTTTGTTGTTTAGTGGTTGTGTGTGTATGTGTGTGTGTGTGTGTGTGTATACATTGTCTTTTAGCTTTTTTGCTCAAGGCTGGAGATCTACTGACCACTTGAGCCACACCCCCACTTCCGACTTTTTTGCTGGATAATTGATTCAGTCTATACAAGGAACCAATGGACTGGGTCTGGAAACAGACTGTGTGGTCTGGTGTGCTTGGACCAGAGGAGCACGATGGAACCCAGACCTGAAGAGTGGCCAGAGAAAGAGGGCTACAGGAGTAGGCGATAGAAGGAGAGTGGCCCGCAGGGCAGGAAGGCAGGAAGTGACTGACACAACCTTCCCAACCCTGCAGGGCATCCCGGAGATCTCCACGCTGCCTTGGTTTACCCTCTTTGCACCATTAGTCTGCCTCTTCCTTATCCGGGCTACTCGAGACTTGGTGGATGATGTTGTAAGTTAGGGTGACACTGGGGATGTGAGATCATGGTGGGGGGGGGTCCAGAGTCCTGGTCCCACCACTGCTGGCCTTAATGTATTGGTCATGAGTCTGAGAATGATGGCCTTGGTGGCTATGTTGGGCTCTGCTATTCTTGTCCTGCATCCTGGTGTGCAGAATCCTCTGTCCTATTAGCCATCGGCCGTGGTGGCCCCCTGTGTTTGGCCTGTAGGCCTCATCCTGGGAACCCTGGACAGTGTTGGGTGGCCCTGGCTGGCAGGGGCTGGCCAGTTACCTGGGCAAGCAAGGTGGGGACAGTGGGAGGGGCAAGACCACCTCTCTGATCCCATCCTGTTGGTCCAGGGGCGGCACAGGAGTGACCATGCCATCAACAACAGGCCGTGCCAGATCCTGAGTGGAAAGAGGTGAGGCTGGAGGCGGCCATGGAGGACCATCCTGGACATGTTGGCCAGGATGTAGTCATAGTGAACAGGGTGCCAACAGAATGGTTGGTACCTTCTGTGCTCCAGATCAAGTTCCAGGCTTGTATTTTTTTTTTTTTTGCCAGTCCTGAAGCTTGAACTCTGGACCTAGGTACTGTCCCCGGGCTCCTTTTGTTCAAGGCTAGCATTCTACCCCTTGAGCCACAGAGCAAGCCACTTCTGGCTTTTTCTTTGTTTTTGTTTTTTTTTTGTCGGTCGTGGGGCTTGAACTCTGGGCCTGGGCGCTGTCCCTCAGCTCATCAGCTCAAGGCGAGTGTTCTACCACTTGAGCTACAGCGCCACTTCCGGTTTTCTGGTGGTTTATTGGAGATAGGAGTCTCACGGTCTCTCCTGCCCAGGCTGGCTTTGAACCACGATCCTCAGATCTCAGCCTCCTGAGTAGCTAGGATTACAGGCATGAGCCACCAGCGCCCGGCACTTCTGGCTTTTTCTACAATTATTTGGAGATAGTCTCACAGACTTTTCTGCAGGGGCTGGCTTTGGACTGCAATTCTCAGATCTCAGCATCCTGAGTAGCTAGGATTACAGATGTGAGCCATTGGCACCTGGAGGGCCTGCATTTATTAGGCACCTAATGTCTACCTGGCCACTGGGATCATGACAAAAAATATCAGTTACCTGGGCTCAGGGGAGGGCAAGGGAAGGCGGGGAAACACTTGGATAAGGGACCCTGGAAGTCACTGGGCAGAGAGAAGAAGAACTCATGGAACTTGGGGAGGCAGCTGCTGAGCAGAGAGGGCCTTGCGCAGGACTCAGAGACCGGGCCTGGGAAGGAGTTGGAGCCCTCTCACACCCCCCCTCCCTGCAGCTTCACTTGGAGAAAGTGGAAACACATACAAGTGGGAGACGTGGTGTGTCTGAGAAAGGACAGCATAGTACCGGTGAGTAAGTGTTACCTCCTGTAAGTGCTCCAGGAGAGGCTCCTCAGCCCATCCGCCATCCCCTACAGTCCTGTCTCCTTCCTGTCCCATTCCAGGCCGACTTGCTCTTGCTAGCCAGCACAGAGCCCAGCAGCTTGTGCTACGTGGAGACAGCTGACATTGATGGGTGAGAAACCGTAATATCAGCAGGATGCGGTGGCTCATGCCTATAATTGGAGCTACTCAGGAAGCTGAGATCTGGGGGTCACAGTTCAAAGCCAGCTGGGGCAGGAGAGTCAGTGAGACCCTTCTGTCCAATTATCTACCAGAAAACCAGAAGTGAAGCTGTGGTTTAAGTGGTAGAGTGCTATCCTTGAGCAAAAGAGCTCAGAGACAGCACCCAGTCCCTGAGTTCAGGCCTCATGACTGACCAAAAAGAAAAAGAAAAAGCTAAACATGGAGCTGTGGCTCAAATGGGAGAGAGCTGGCTTTGAGCATAAAAGCTCAGGGACAGTTGCAGGCCCTGAGTTCAAGCCCTAGGATTGACACATGCACACACATACATCATCATCACATAAAAAAGAAGGAAAAGAGGCTGCAGCATCCCTAAGCCAGAAAAACAGAAGAAAGACACCAATCAGCTGACTCCTGTCTCCAGCTTTCCCGTGAACATTTATGTGGGCACAGAACAGGCTTTCCCAGCCAACAGGGGCATAAAATACAGGAGGCCCCACTCCAGAGGAGGAGATCTGCCTTCCGGCCACCACAGTATCTGCTAGCTTAGGCCCTGACCTGGGCCTTTTGTGCTGTATGATCTCTGGCAAATCCTCTCTGGGCCTCAGCCTTCTAGTCTACATCTGGAACAGGATAGAAGCACAGCAAATGTGTTCACTATCTCTGAGAGAAGGTGTGGCTCTTTACCCCAGGGTGTCAGCCATCTTTTCATCACCTTCTGTACTTTCCTGCCTTTCCTTGTTACCAGGGAGACCAACTTGAAGTTCAGACAGGCGTTGACAGTCACCCATCAAGAACTGACCAGTGCTACAAAGATGGCGTCCTTCCAGGGTGAGTGGGAAGAGAGAATCCTATGCACACATCTGGGCCTATGCCCCTCCTATGGCTTTGATGATGGTGGTAGGTGTTAAGTGGGGCCTAGTGCCCAGCCAGAATTGGGTGCATTTGCCACCCTGTAAGGTCTAGTAGCTTTTTCATGCCCCGTGTGTGTGTGTGTGTGTGTGTGTGTGTGTGTGTGTGTGTGTATAAAACTGCTATTATAAAGGTAATGTACAGAAGGGTTACTGTTTCTTAAGTCAGGGATGTTGGGATATGTGTGCAAAGTCCATGAGGCCATGAAACAAGTCTTGGAGTGTTCTAGGGGAAACCAGGGTATGCAATGCCCATAGGTACCCGAGGACACCCCAGGGTCTGTGAGGGTGATTGGAGCCGGACGGTGGTGGGAGCATTCCCCCTACTTCAGTTGGGAAGGCGTGGCAGAGTCTGTAGCTGGGATCAGGGGTGCAGGTTTGCCATCCCACCTGCTGACTGCCATGTGTCCACAGGCACTGTGAGGTGTGAGGACCCCAACAGCCAGATGCACCAGTTTGTGGGGAGCTTGGAGTGGAACCACAGGAAATATCCCCTGGACATTGGGAACCTGCTCCTGCGTGGCAGCAAGATCCGCAACACTGATGCCTGCTATGGCCTGGTCATCTATGCTGGTACAGCAGCATGTGACAGCCAAGGGGGGTGGAGTGCAAGGAACAGGGCTAGGCATGACCGTGATGGACCCGTGGAGAGACGTGGGCTCCTGTGGTTTGGCTTCTCTGTAAGAAGGAACATGGATCAGAAAATATGGAGCTTTGGGCTGGAAAGGTGGCTCCGTGGTATAGTGCTTGCCTTGCATGCCTGAGGCCCTGGGTTCGATTCCTCAGCCCCACATAAGCAGAAAGAAAAAAAGCCAGAAGTGGCGCTGTGGCTCCAGTGGTAGAGCACTAGCCTTGAGCTGAAGAGCTGAGGGACAGCACCCAGGCCCAGAGTTCAGGCTCCACAACCAGACCCCCCCCCAAAAAAAAGAAAAAGAAAATATGGAGCTCTCTCTGGGCTATGGCTTGTCAGCCTTCTCCCCTTTCAGGGTCTAGACCCTGAAGTTGGAAGGCTGCTGGATGATTGGGTGGATGGATGAATGGCTGGATGAATGATGAGTGGATGAGTGGATGGATGGGATGGAGGTGGGGAGAGTGAATGAATAGATGAGTGGGTATACAGATGGCTATGTGGTCAGGGTGTATGGAGGATGGATGGATGGATGGATGGATGAGTGGTGGGTGAGTAGATGGGTGAGTGGATGGATGAGGTGGGTGGAGGGCCAGAAAAGTGAGTGAATAAGTAGATGGGTGGGTAAATGAATGGATATATGGATGGATAAGTGGATGAACTGATGAAGGATGGCTATGTGGATGGGTGGGAGCCGATGGATGGGGGATGGAAAGTTGGATGGATGGGTGGATAGACAAATAAATGGATAGATGGATGTGGGATGGGTGGTTGAGTAGATGGATGGAGGGTAGATAGATGGTAATAGATGGTTAAGTGGATGGATGAATGGATGGGCAGACAGATGGATGGGGAATGGTTGGCTGGATGGCTATAAATCTTGCAGGTGTTGACACAAAGATCATGCAGAACTGTGGCAAGATCCACTTGAAGAGGACTAAGCTAGATCTCCTCATGAACAAGCTGGTGATCCTGGTGAGCTGACAACCAGAGCTTTTGTGGGGAGACATTGGGGAGTCTAGAGGAAGACCCCCTACCCTACTGATAGAAACCTGGAGTTGCTATCTTCTGTTCCTTGGTTTCCTTCCTCATACAATGATCAGGTTTATTCCAAGAGCAAGTCTTTGTTGACAGAGAATCTTTGTTTCAGTAGTGTTTAAAAACAGCCAGGTACTGGTGGCTTATGCCTGTAATCCTAGCAACTCAGGAAGCTGAGATCTGAGGATCGTAGTTCAAAGCCAGCCCAGGTAGTAAAGGCTATGAGACTCTTCAATTAAGCACCAGAAAACTGGAAGTGGCACTGTGGCTCAAGTGGTAGAGCACTCACCATTGAGCTGAAGAGCTCAAGGACAGCAGGCCCAGAGTTCAAGACCCATGACCACCACCACCAACAACAAAAAGTTAGCATGGGGCTATAGCTTAGTGGTTCTGTTTTTGCCTAGCATGTGAGCAGCTCTGGATTCTCTTCACAAAATTACCAGAAAAAAAGTTTCATGAAGTAAAATTTTTTTTTGTCGGTTGTGGGGCTTGAATGAAGTAAAATTTGATTTCGACATTTTCCAAATCTATAAGAAAAAAGCCTCACCTATTACCTGCAATGAAAGGGAACCATCTATAAGTCTTTTCATAATTATCTTCATAATTTATTTTTGTGCTGATACTGAGACTTGAACTCAGGGCCTGAGCACTGTCCTTGAGCTTTTTAAGACTAGCATACTACCACTTGAACCACAGATCCACTGCTAGCTTTTTTTTTGGGTCAGTCATGGGGCTCGAACTCTGGGCCTGGGCACTGTCCTTCTGCTCATCAGCTTAAGGCTAGCACTCTACCACTTGAGCCCCAGTGCCACTTCCAGCTTTTTCTGATTATGGTACTAAGGAATGGAACCCAGGGCCTCATGCAAGCAAGGCAAGAACTCTACCACTGAGCCACCTTCCCAGCCCCACTTCCAGCTTTTTCGTGGTTGATTGGAGATAAGTTTATCATAGATATTCCTGCCCTAGCTGGCTTTGATCCTCAGATGTCAGCCTTCTTGAGTAGCTAGGATTACAGGCATGAGCCACCAGCACCTTTGTGATTTTTATGTGTCACTCTAGTAAAAAATAAATCAGCCACAAAATCCAGGCAAAAGCTCTGCGAGTATCCCCCCTCTGGTCCCTTCCTGACCCATCTTTGCTCTCCGCTATCTGTTCCCATTCTCATGGCAGATCTGAGGATTATCTTCTCCCAACTTTGTCCTTTTACATGTCCCCACTGACAAATCTCTGAGGTTCTCGAGGCCCTTTCAGGCTCTCCCATACCTCTTTATCTCAATGCCCACCTTCTAGATCTTTCTGTCTCTGGTGGCCATCTCCTTGGCCTTGACCCTGGGCTTCAGTGTCATGATCAAAGACTTCAAATGGAAGCACCACTATCTGTCTGTCAAGCACACGAGGACGGAGATTCTGGAGTCCTTCTTGATTTTCTGGAGCTTCCTCATCCTGCTCAGCACCGTGGTGCCCATGTCTTTGTTTATCATGTGAGTCATGTGGTTGGCCAGGACTGTGCCCATTTCTCAGATGGGATAAATGGAGGCCTCCTGAGGGCCGGACAGGTAGGAATGTGACGGGCCATGAATTTGCAGAACGGAATTCATCTACCTGGGCCACAGCCTATTCATCAACTGGGATGCGGGGATGTACTACAAGCCGCTGGCCATGCCCGCCAAGGCCCGTAGCACCAGCCTTAACGACCAGCTGGGCCAAGTGCAATATATCTTCTCAGACAAGACGGGCACGCTCACACAGAATGTCCTGACCTTCAAAAAATGCTGTATCAACGGCCACATCTACGGTGGGGCATGCCTGGCCCCCCTTCTGCTCTCCCCTGCTCCTTTCTGTGGAGGGAGGGTCCCCCAATACCTGATTCAGGGGCTGGGTGCCCAAGATCAAGGGTTACAAGGGTCTTCAACTTCAACCGCAGATCAGGGCCATAGGGCTCCAGGTTTGACTGGTGACATTGGGGTACCCCCTTGGAGGGAGGCTAAGCTTGGGGGGAGGGGGAACAGGCTGTGGGACCCTGAGTATGGGCTCCCAGGCAGCAAAGTTCTGAAGAATTCTTTTTCTTTTTTTTTTTTGTGCCAGTCCTGGGGCTTGAACTCATGGCCTGGATGCAGTCCTTGAGCATTTTTGCACAAGGCTAGTGCTCTACCACTTGAGCACAGCTCCACTTCCAGCTTTTTGTTGGTTCATTGGAGATAAGAGTCTCATAGGCTTTCCCTGCCTGGGCTGGCTTTGAACTGTGAACTTCAGATTTCAGCCTTCTTGAGTAGCGAGGATTACAGGCTGAGCCGTCAGCGCCCAGCTCTGAAATATTTGTTTTCTTAGGTCCTGAGGATGAGGATGGGACCCCCCGTCAGGTAAGCCCCCGGCCTTGCCCTTCTGGCAGGTAGAGGGATGGACAGGGACCCACTTAGAGGCAACCTGTCCTGTCCCTGTCCACTGCCCCTCACCCAGGAGATGCCCTACATGTGGAATGAATTTGCAGATGGAAAATTCCTTTACTACAACAAGCAGCTACTACACACAGTGCGGCACAGACAGGATGGAGTGGTGCAGGAGTTCTGGCGCCTGCTCGCCATCTGCCACACGGTGATGGCCCAGGAAGAAGACAGTGAGTGCAGATCCAGCCTGTGATGACTCGGGCCTGGGGGACTCCCACCAAATCCCTGACCCCAGCCCAGCCTCCTCCCAGGTTCTTGTTGTAGCCTGACTGTGCCCAGCACCTCATCCCAGGCTGCCCAAGCCATGCTGGCCTGGAGCCGAAAGAAGATGGCTCAGAGCTGTTCGCTCATGCCTGCCATCCTAGCTACACTGGGGGCAGAGATCTGAGGATCAAGGTTCAAAGCCAGCCCAAGCAGGAACGTCTGTGAGACTCTTAGCTCCAATTACTATTGAAAATGCTGGACGTGGAGCTGTGGCTCAAGTGATAAGAGTGCTAGCCTTGAGCAAAAAAAAAAATCTCAGGGACAGCATCCAACCCTGAATTCAAGCCCCAGGAAAGGCATAAAAAGAAGAGTCTGTATCAGCAAGCAGGGAGGGAAAAAGGGGGTGAATTCTTGCTTCCTTCCCCACTTCCCTGCCTGTCTCTTCCCATGCCAGACCAATTGTTGTACCAGGCAGCTTCCCCTGATGAGGAGGTGCTGGTTACTGCGGCCAGGAACTTGGGCTACGTGTTCAGGTCCCGCACTCAGGACACTATCACGGTGCTGGAGCTGGGAGAGGAGCGTGTCTACCAGGTGCTCGCCATGATGGACTTCACCAGCGATCGCAAGCGGATGTCTGTGCTGGGTGGGCACCACCACTCCCCACCCCCAGCTGGGAGGCCCGGCCGGGGAGTGTGTGTACCAGCCAAGTCTCTCTATCTTCCCACAGTCAGGAACCCCGAGGGTTCCATCTGCCTCTACACCAAGGGCGCCGACACAGTCATCTTGGAGCGCTTGTACAAGAGGGGTGAAATGGAGGAGACCACAGAGGAAATCTTGGCTGTGAGTCTTGGCTGGGAGAAAAGTTGCTGCTGCTGGTAGTGTGTGTGTACAAGGGGAAGAAGAAAGATAAATAGCACATATAAAGAATGGTAGTAGGCCCTTAGGGCAGCCGTGTACAAAGCATTGTACAAAGCATTTCTTCCCTCCCACCTCCCATCTATCTGCAGAGGCTGGGTGGGGGCTGAACTCCAAGGTATACCTACTCAGAGAGGGCCTCTTTCTCTAATTGCCTTGTGAGCCAGGCACTGGTGGCTCACACCTGTAATTCTAGCTACTCAGGAGGCTGAGATCTGAAGATCGCAGCTTGAAGTCAGCTGGGGCAGGAAAGTCCATGAGACTCTTATCTCCACCAGAAAACCGGAAGTGGCACTGTGCTCAAAGTGGTAGAGTGTTAACCTTGAGCAAAAAAGCTCAGGGACAGCATCCAGGCCCTCAGTTCAAGCCCCATGACCAACCAAAACAACAACAACACCAAAAACAACAAAAACCTTATGGGTGGATTGGATCTTGACTTTGGATATCCATCCCACCCACCCACCCCCCAGCCCCGGTGCAGTCTCCCAGCCAATCCTGGGTTCTAGGAGACACTCATCCCTTCCTTGCTCAGTCTTTCTTCTTTGCAGGTAAAGCTGAGATTCCTCAACTCAACCTTTGCTTGTATGCTGGTCTTGAGGCTTGAACTCACAGCCTGGATGCTATCCCCTGAGCTTCTTTTACCATTTGAGCTCCAGCTCCACTTCTGGTTGTTTTTTTTCCCCCCTGGTCATGGGGCCTGAACTCTGGGCCTGGGCACTGTCCCTCAGCTCTTTACCTCAAGGCTAGCGCTCTACCACTTGAGCCACAGCACCACTTCCAGCTTTTCTGTTTATGTGGTACTGAGGAATTGAACCCAGGGCCTCATGCATGCAAGGCAAGCACTCTACCACTGAGACACCTTCCCAGTCCCACTTCTGGTTGTTTTGATAGTTAATTGGAGATCAGTGTCTCATGGACTTTCTTGCCTGGTCTGGCTTTGAACTGCAGTCCTCAGATCTCAGCCTGAGTATCTAGGATTATAGGCATGAGCCACAGTTCCTGAAGCTGAGCACTTTCTGTCTCTTGTTAGCCTCTGTCCTTTGGCCTCTCCTTGGGGCCCCAGGATCCCAGTGACTAGCTTGCCATCCCCTGGGCCTAGGTGACCCCTTGGGACCTTGGCACAGTGCTTTTCCAGATGCCTTTGTAATTCACAGTCTTTTGGTCCTCAAGGGCCAGCTACACCTTTCTGATGCCTTTCTGATCTCAGTCCCCTGCCATGGGGGCCACCCCTACACCTCTTCCCTCTGGTCTAGTCTGCATCTACAGGGCTAGAGGCATCTATGTCTAGCCTGAGGAACACCCCCCAAAAGGTTTCACTGAGGGGTCTGCAGGGTGATCTGCTCTGCCTAGTGAGAAGCAGGTGTTTGGTTCTAGAATAAAGACCCAGAGCCCAGGAGTTCAGCAAAATGCACAAACCACTCTATGGGATGAGTGGGGAAAGCGTTCAAGGTACAGATGTACTTGAGGATCCTGACACCGAAAGAGCCCTGCTGTCCAATCTGTGCTATTTCTTATTCTCTGACCCCCATCAACACTAGGGAGGTGGTACCCTGCTAGGGTGCTTGTATCTTGAAGTTTATCCCCTTGGAGATGAGTCCCATGGATGCCAGGTACCAGTGGCTCATGCAGTAATCCTAGATACTCAGGAGGCTGAGATCTGAAGATTGTGGTTCAAAGCCTGCCCGAGAAGGAAAGTTCATGAGACTCTTACCTCCAATTAAGCACCAAAACAGCTGGAGGTAAGGCTGGGGCTCAAGTGTACAGCAATGGCCTTCAGCACAAAAGCTCAGGGACAGCATCCAGGCCCTGAGTTCAAGCCCAAGCACAGGCAAAATAAAAATAAATATATAAGTAAGTCTCATGGACTTTCCTGCCTAGTCTGGCTTTGAACTGTGATCCTCAGATCTCGCCTCCTGCATAGGTAAGATTTACAGGTTTGAGCTCCCAGCTCCCAGCTCAAAATAAATCTTTGACAAGGGCTGGTAAAGTAGCACCACTGGCATCTGGTTTAGAGTACCAGTCTTCAGCAAAAGAGCTCGGAGACAGTGCCTAGGACCTGTGTTCCAGCCCCGAGACTGGCAACTAATAAAATAAAAATAAAGAAAAGCAAGGTATAGGGACTTGTTTCCTGCAGGTAGCCAGGTCCCAGAAAAGGCCTAGCAGCAACAGAGAGACAGAACAAGCAGGTGGGAGGACTAGCTGGGGTAGTGACAGTTCCACTCCCCCACCCAGGACTTTGCAGGGCAGACCTTGAGGACCCTGTGCCTGGCCTACAAGGAGGTGTCTGAGGAGGACTTTGAGGTATGGGAGAGCCAGCACCACAGAGCCTGCCTCCTGCTACAAAACCGGGCACAGGCCTTGTACCAGGTGTACGACAAGATGGAGCAGAACCTCCAGGTGCACAGATAGCCACAGGGACTGAGGGTGGGGCTTTAAAGCCTGGTATTAGAGAGCTCAGTCGGGAGGTCTCCCCCCCTCCCTGCCCTGCAGCTGCTGGGAGCCACAGCCATTGAGGACAAGCTCCAGGATGGGGTTCCAGAAGCCATCAAGTGTCTTAAGGAAGCAAACGTGAAAGTGTGGATGCTCACAGGGGATAAGCAAGGTGGGTTCCCCAGTCCCCACTGCCCTTGTCCCAAGTCCCATTGACTACGTCTCCCATGTGTGTGGATCCAGCATTCCCCTTCAAAAGAGACATAGAGGCCACTGAAAACCCTCAGTGAAAGCCAGGCGCCGGTGGCTCACGCCTATCATCCTAGCTACTCAGGAGGCTGAGATCTGAGGATCGTGGTTCTAAGCCAGCCCAGACAGGAAAGTCTGTGAGACATTTTTTTACAATTACCAAAAAGCCAGGATTGGAGCTGTGGCTCAAGTGCTAGAGCACTAGCCTTGTGAAAGCACACACACACACACACACACAAAACACCCAAGCCTCAGGAACAGTCAGGGTGCCTGCTGAGAATGCACAGTGTGCTGAGGGCTCAGAGAGTATTTTGGTTTTGGAGAAGCATTGCAAGATGGCCTTTTGCAACCTCCATGTGGGCAGTAGATCTAGCTGAGCTAAGTGTTCAAAATAGCTTGCCCGTTGGGTGCTGGTAGTGTATGCCTGTAATCCTAGCTACTCAGGAGGCTGAGGTCTGAGGATCATGGTTCAAAGCCAGCCCAGGTAGACAAATCCATGATACTCATATCTCGAGTTAAAGCAAAAAGCTGGCAGTAGAGGTGTGGCTCAAATGGTAGAATGCCAACTCTGAGCAAAGGGAGAGTGTAAGACTGTACATTCAAAAATGCAAGAAGGGGCTGGGAATGTGGCTTACTGGTAGAGTGCTTGCTTCCCATGCATTCATGAAGCCCTGGGTTTGATTCCTCAGTACCACATAAACAGAAAAAGCCAGTAGTGGTGCTAGTGGTAGAGTGCTAGCCTTGAGCAAAAGAAGCTCAAGGACAGTGCCCAGGTCCCTGAGTTCAAGCCCCAGAACTGGAAAAAAAAATGCAAGAAGCAAACTTTTCAAGATCCTCCTGAAAAATACTAAAGCAGAAAAAAGGATGAGAGTGCGGTACAGGTGGTAGAGAACCTGACTAGTTCAAACCCCAGTATACTTGGGGGGGGAGGGGGGAGGGGGAAGCTTTAGATATGACCTACCTGATGGACCAGCCCTCAAATCCACCTCCTCTGGAGTAGCCCAGCCTAGAGTAGCCTTTTCACTTAGAGCTGCAGACAATGTCTCAGGGCTAGCCCTCATTGGCCAGCCTGGTGATATACTGTGTTTTGAATCAGTCACCATGGTCAGGATCAAGGTACCCTGCTATGATTGGCTGGTGGAGTGGGGTCTAGGTGGCAGAGGGGGTGTGGTCACCAGGCAGGGCTGGGAGGTCTCTGAGCAGGACTGATTTACAGAGACAGCTGTGAACACTGGCTTTGCCTGCCAGCTGCTGACGGAGAACACGCTCATTCTGGAGGACCAGGAGATAAAGTAAGTAGGCATAGGAATGTGCAAGGGACCTGGGGTGTCTATGGCCTGGAGGGCCATCTGAGCATCCTCAGTGTAGTTTTGGATTTGCCTGGCTGGACTCTCAAGGTAGGGGTGAGTGCCACCCCAACCAAGTGGGAAACTGAGGCATGGGTGGGAGGGGAGAGGTGGGAATCACCTCTCACCCCTGCTATCCTACAGCTGCATCTTGGAGACCTACTGGGAGAGCAACAATAACCTTCTGTCCCCGGGGAGAAACTTGAAATCCCTGCCCCAGATCAACATGGCCATGGTCATTAATGGGGACTTTCTGGTTAGTGTTGACTTGGAGCGGACAGTGGGGTCCTTGGTGTAGAGGACAGGGTCTGGTCATGGGGGCCCTAAGCTTACCAGGGATGGGGGTATTGCTGCCATCTTAAATGAAAACTGCCAAGAGAAAATCGGGTGCTGGTGGTTCATGCCAGTTATCCTAGCTACTCAGGAGATTGAGATCTGAGGATCACAGTTCAAAGCCAGCCTGGGAAGGGAAGTCTGTGAGATTCTTGTCTCCATTTTACTAGCAAAAAAAAAAAAAAAAGAGCCAGAAGTAAAACTGTGGCTCAAGCAGTAGAGCACTAGCCTTGAGTACAAAAGCTCAGGGACAGCATGCAGGCCCAGAGTTCAAGCCCCAGGACCAGCAAAAGAAAAAAGGAAAGCAAAAGAAATGCCAAGAGATTGGACCCAGAGAAGCCAGTGCAAGGGAGAGACACAGTCAAGCCTCAAGCCCAGACAGAGGGTTAGTTACACAGGGTCTCAAGACCCCAGGGAGGGATATTCAGTAAAGGAAATAAAGGGTGGCACAGGCCAAATGATGCAGCCCCTTCTCCCCGCTATCCAGGACCAGCTGCTTCTGTCATGGCACAAGGAGCCCCAGGCCCTGGTCCAAAACGTGGTGATGGACAAGACTTGGCAGGAACCTGGCCAGATGAGGAGGGACTTCCGACAGGCTGTGGGGCTCTCCAGGATGTGGCAGAATTCCAGATTCCCACTGGCGCTGGCCTCCCATACCCAAGAGAGTCCCAAGGTGCGACGGGAGCGGGCCTTCGTGGACCTGGCCTCCAGGTGCCAGGTGGTCATCTGCTGCCGTGTGACACCCAGGCAGAAGGCTCAGATTGTGGCACTGGTGAAGAAATACCGGCAAGCAGTCACGCTGGCCATTGGAGACGGGGCCAATGACGTCAACATGATCAAAAGTGGGTGGCGATGGGCTCCAGGTGTGGGGAGGAGGCTGTGGGCAGCCAGCCCGGGGGGCCCAGAGGTCAACAGGCTGTGCTGTCCCCTGCAGCTGCTGACATCGGTGTAGGGCTGGCGGGTCAGGAGGGTATGCAGGCAGTGCAGAACAGTGACTACGTGCTGGCCCAGTTCTGCTTCCTGAAGCAGCTCCTGCTGGTTCACGGACGTCTCTCCTACGTGCGAATCTCCAAGTTCCTCCGCTTCTTCTTCTACAAAACAGCAGCCTGCATGATGGGCCACATTTGGTTCTCCTTCTACAATGGCTTCACTGCCCAGGTGAGTGATGCCGGTGAGAACAGCCCTCCGGGCTGCCTGGTCTCTCCCATAGCTACTAGTCGCAATCATGGGGACACTCAAAACTCCAGGATCCAGCTGAGCGTGGTGGTGCAAGCCTATAATCCCTGAACTCTAGAGGTAGAAGCAAGAAGATGGGGAGTTGGAGGCCAGCCTGGGCTATATAGTAAAAACGTGTCTAGGAATTTTATTTTTATTTTCTTATTTTAATTTTAACTTATTTTAAATTTGTTTTTATTTTTAACTTATTTTACATTTATCTGTGCCAGGACTGTTCCAGAGCTTTTTTTTTTTGCTCAAAGGTTGGTGCTCTACCACTTGAGCCACAGTTCTACTTCCAGCACTTTGGCGGTTAATTGGAGATAAGAGTCTCAAGGACTTTCCTGCCAGGGCTGACTTCAAACCATAATCCTCAGATCTCAGCCTCTCGAGTAGTTAGGATTATAGGTGTGAGCCAGTAGCACCTGGCATTAATCAGTTTTAGTTTATTTAGGCATAACTAGGGGTTGAACTCAGAGCCTTGCTTTTGCTAGGCAGGTGCTCTACCATTTTAGCTATACCCTCAGCCCTTTCATACTTCAGCTATCTTTTGAATAGGATCTTTGCCCTGGCCTCTGACCAAGATCCTCTTATTTATTTATTTTTAA